AAATATAAACATCCGAATTGATAACCTCCTTTTTGAAGTCGTTTAAAAATAAGTATCTACCTTTTACTTGTATCTATGATTATAAAAAATAAATTATAGCTTCTCATCACTTGACCCCCCCCCCCCCCTGGCACCAAAGCTGGATCCGCCCTTGATGGCGTCTACTATATTTCTGAAATAAATTCAAATTCAAATTCAAAATATCTTTATTCGCATAGACACTTGCGCGTTCTTATGAAATGACGAAATTTTTACTTAAAAAAAACCGGCCAAGTGCGATTCGGACTCGCGCAGGAAGGGTTCCGTACCATCATATATAAAAACGACAAAAGAAAATCAGTTTACGATATAAGTAATGGTACATTTTAGTATTTTAGCCTACGTGAGTATAAACAGTATTAACTCCACACATTGGCGTCATAAAGATATTCCGCAATGGTATAATATGCTTTAGCCACAAGTTTACTTTTAATTTTGCATTTAAATTGATCAAGTGGCAGACTTAATTTAGACCTTTTGCCCCACGACCTATTTTATTTTTTGTAAACGAAACAATGGCGTAGTTAGTTTGTCCTTATGTCTAGTATTTAGTTTATGCCTGTCACTATTCTCTAGATAATAATTAAGATTATGTCTAACATATAAAATGTTACAATAAATATTTGAGATGCAAAAGTGAGTATATTAAACCAGTTGTAAATTCACCACCATTAGTAATTTTTTTAAATAAGAGTAGAAATTTTCAATCGATTTAACTGTAACAAACCTAATTAAATGTAACTTGTTAAAAAATAATCATCAAATGATGCAAATTAGTAATAAAAAAAAGAAAATCAAAAATATATTTATTCACATAGACGCTTGCGCGTTCTTATGAAATGTAAAAGTTTTACATAAAATTTAATACATTCACACACAAAATGGGATCTGCTTATAAGAATCATTTTGTTTACATTTAAACCAAATTTTGTCTTTACATATAAATTAAATAATGTTAAAGTTGATTACAGCTTTGTAAACTTCGTCGTGTTGGAAACGTGTTATCGAGAAGTGATTAGTTAAGTGCCTCAAATGTACGAAGGCAGATACTACAAACTTTTATAATTGAAAACATTACCGTGACCTTAACTTTCTACTCTTGTAAATACAAAACCCTCCTGTGTTTATTTCTACAGTATTTATAACACTTATCAAAACATTAAAAAAAGTTTTACTTCGGTTAGTACAGCTCACCACACGCCTTTCAGGAAATAAAACACGAAATTTATAAGAGCAATTAAACATTTAACTTCAAAACATAAGTTTTATAAACTTTTTTCATAATTTTGCATTATCGTTAAAAATAAATTAAACATTATGGTCTATGGCCACTTCGGGTTATATAGAAGTTTGTGAAGCTTTTTAAAACAGGTTTTAGACAATCTTTAACGGCACTTTATTTTTTTGTTGAAAATTGATGGGCGATTTTGTCTTTCACAACCGGCTGATGGGCTATACTGATGTTATCTGATCGTATTAACAACTTAGTCAACAAACAACGTATAACAACTTAGCTTCCATTGCTAACACATACTGTAGGTATCAATTGTTTCGCTGTTCTTGAAGTGGTGGTTTTCTTCCCAACTTCGCTGTTAGATCTATATTAGTTGTCGGCGTGTTAAAGTTGTTCGAGGTTCTTAATACAACTTGAAAGCTTTTAGAGATTCAATTTTCTTACTGCGCACATTTGATTGCTTTTGTAATTGCACCTTGTTTGGCGCTTTCTTTGTTAAATTGAGATCCTGTGAGCCATAACGGCTGCAAATCCCACATTTTTCACTTATAGAACTTTAACGTAAAAACTAATAGATAATATTATTAAAACGTATCAGTGCACATTAAAAGGACAGTATAGATTAAAAGAATTCCTACAAAACTATGCAAATGAAATGAAACGGGAATGATTGAAACTTGGGAAAATATAAGATCAAATCACGTAAATCTCGATCGAAGCATGTGCCGAGCAAACGCGCACTTGACACAACGCAGGGATCACCTGAAGAGCAGTGTTGATTTGTTTCGGAGATATAACACTGACCATATTGGGCAATAATAACCGAAAGAAAATTGACAAAGTACACTACACGTTCTCTTAAAAAACCTAACGCACGCAAAATGGTGGTTTATTATAATTAATCTTCGATCAAGATAAAAAGTTCTTTTAACAAAAAAAAAAGAACCGACTTCTAAAAACTCTATTTGCACTAAAAATTTTAAAATAATACTAAATCTAAGAGATGCAGTTCGAACTTATGCCACTATCAGACAAATAAACGCGAAGACAACGCATTAATTGTGTAAATAAGCTGTTTTGGCGTTCTCAGCTATACTAAATACTGCTTAACCTTTACGAGTGTACAGACGTGATGTTATGCTGTGTGATTGCGCAAAAAATGCATATTTATTTATGCGATAGCAACAATCGCGGTTTATTTGCTGTCATTTTTTGAAGAGTTCCGTCGTCTATTTCCAGAACTCTATATGAAATTTAAATGGGACCATTTCGAAATAAAACCCTTTGGAACACAAAAAGAATTTTACAAATCCGTCTTTATATGGGGAGAGAGGGACGTCCTTCACTGGACTGCGATAAAAAATAAATAAAATAAATATTATTTTCATGGATTCGGGCTTATTGTTTCATGTTATAGTTATGATTTTTTAAATTAATTTGTGTAGGAATCATGTAAACAACTTTATCCATTATTTATCGCTTATAATTTCATGCTCGTTCGTTATGTTATACTATGGTATACTACCCACGGGTATGATCTCAATGAAAATTAATTTCATTCATGACTGCCTTATTCAAATTGTCGCTTATTTTGCCATCATGTGAATCAGCTGATGATGTCAGCTGCCTTACAAACAATCGACCGTTGCAAATTAGAAGCCGCCCAAATATATTATGTATTCATATTACAATCACTTTATTCAAACTGCCAAAAACAATAAATTGATTTGGTATTATTTAAAATTTTAAATCAGTTTTGGGTTACGTATGTTAGATTAAAAGAAATATATGTGTGTACTTAAATAAATGTGCCGACCCCACCTAGTGGGATAAGGGCAGGAGAATGAAGAAGAATAAGATATCTGTATACTTATGTACGAACGTAAGTTATTCTTTAGCGTAACAAAAGAAAAATAACTGAAAATTTTATCCACTGTGCCTGTACTCTTTGTTTGTGAATAAGGCATTAATAGCAATTGATAACGGTTCAATGAAATAACTTGGAATTACAAGTAAATCACAAAAAGTTTTTATTGGTTGCCATGGTAATACCGTTCCGTTGGTCGCTTTGCAACCAATTTCATCATGTCGCTTATTGGTTGTCGGTGTGAAAATTTCACTCTTATAATTTTTTCCAAACGCACCTATGCATATGTGTAATCTCTAATTATTTGCACATATGTATCTGACTGACTTTGTTAAAAAAAACATTATTAAGACGCCTCCTTAAGATCCTTTTAAATCACCCTCGATATTTTCTTGTCTAAAAAAGTACAGCTTTGCAACTATGGAAAATTTCTCCGTGATAGCTCAGTCCAGGCGGTGGTTTTCAATTTAGTATACTCGGCCAACATCACGATTAAACTCATTGAATTGATTGATTGAATTTTTCTGAACGAAAAAATGTTTCAAAAATGAACTTTACAGCCAGACATATAAAGTTGAGTGGTCCTTAGACCACTCAACTTTATATTATGTCTTCCTAGAATAAATTTCAGGGCATTAATCAAAGAAAAAATACATTGTATCATCGATGTTAGGCATTGTGGGCAATATAGGTCAGTAAATAGGTGTAGGTAATTTAAGCCACCTGAGTTCGATTACCTACATGAGTAAAAAAAAAGTAAAGTAACAGCCTATACACCTACATGAGTTTAAAGATATAATACCAATCTGATTTTTAAATAGCTTTCGCCTTCACCGAGATTTTTGTTCCCTATATACAAAACGTTTCAATACATTGCAAAGTATGAAGATATCGATAGAGGTTTGTAATTAACGGGACCACCACTCTTTTGGTTATTTATCTCATATGTGGCCTCTATGCTGGGTTGCCCGATTATTTATTTATTTTTCAAAGAAAAAAATTATAAACATTTGTTAAAGCCAAATAGTCATTCATTGGTCAACAATATCTTTGCGAATTCGTTAGAAACTAACTTTCTGTAATATTTTTTTAGTGGCTGTTAAGTTTTCTTCTAGAGGTAACATCCGAAAAAGTATGTTTACGCTTATGAACTAGAACATTTGGCATTAAACTATTAATGAGCATTGGTACTGATAATTGCATACTATACTGTCTCAAGTTTCTAAAAACTTCTCATCTCTTCATTGCTTTAAACCGTGTCGAGATTGGTAATTATCAAACGTCCAGGCAGTCAGCACAGTGACCATCCATAAACAACAGCCCTTGATTTGGTTTGTGTCATTAATTTAAATTAATTGGAAATCGGTTAATAATTTGAAACTTCGTGTTTTTTTGTTTATCGCACTACATCTACAATTTTAAATGATAAGTAAATAAAGTAAAAATATAAGAAAAATAACAGTTAATGAATGGTCTTACTGCTCCATAGAAAAAGAGTATACTATATGATACGGTGATTACGACGAGACCTATTCGTAATTATCATATTATTATATGAAAACGTCCGAAAATCCCTTAAGCCACAAAAGACAAAAAAAGTAATGTTTTAAGAAGTAGCCTACTTCTTTCTCTATGATATGTAGATAAAATACGAAAAAATTTTTCCCCGCTCCCAGGATTAATTTAGTGAATTAGAATGACTTAGTTGAATCGAAATAAATGAAACGCCATTAATACGTTACGAGTATAATTTTATAAAATATTTTCAGCGTATCGAAACATAATACTACGAGGATGTAAAAAGATAATATTTACACAAATAAACGAGACGAAGCGGAGTCGCGGACAGGGTGGCGTTCATTCGTCGTGGAGGCGCTCCGGTGCGGGGAAGCCGCGCGCCGACATCTGGTCGGGGGCGGGGGAGGCGTGCGGGGCGGGCGAGGCGGCGGGGGAGGCGGCCGGCGACGCGCTGCCCAGCGGCGAGGGGATGGTCGCGTACACGGTCGGCCGCGGCGGCTGGTACGACGGCGCGTACGTGTCGCTGCGCGGGTTGTAGAAGGGCGAGTCGTCCGCGCAGCAGTCCAGGTTGGGCGAGTAGGGCGTGGCCGCGCCGCAGGAGGGCGTGTCGTCGCTCGGCCGGTACGCGGGCGCAACGGGCGCGTACACGGTCCGCCGCGGCGGCTCCGCCTCCGGCTTGTGGTGCGACGACGGCGCGTACGCGTCCGACCAGCTCGCCTTGCTCGGCGTGAAGTCGCCCTTCACGTACAGCTGGATCGGCCGCCGGAAGCCCTTGCTCGCGTGCTGCGGCACGCCCAGTATGCAGCACTTGCTGAAGCCGACCTCCGGCGAGAGCAGGTATTCGCGAAACTTTTTCGGGAACAGCTCGATTGAATTGAAGTTTTCGTAAATTGTCGGCTGGAATTGAGGGGGGGAATATTTAGGCTATAAAAATAAAATGGCAGACCGCTCTGCCGTTGTGGGCGCGCTTACGGAAAACCACTGAATATATTTCAATTAAATGTGATATCATTATTTAATGTAGTAATTATATTTTTAGTAAACAATAGTTTTTAAATAATCACTATGTATTTTCTTGCCTCGGAGAAGTAGGGTATACAAAGTATACTTGATAATATAATAAAAAATTTTACTCCATTCTTCAAAGTTAAGTAAAATCGACATTATAAATATATTTTTACCGTTAAACGCTTCTTCTTTTTATAACTTGCCCAATTCTGCGCTTCTAGGACCAATTTTCCACCAGGGCGAAGATCAGCAAACATGCGACGAAAGGCACGCTTTAAACCAGCGTCACCCCAATTTAGATGTAGCCATTTGGTTGTAGACAAGCACAGGATCAAATCAAATTGGGGACTCTCCATACCTGAACCTATTGCTACATCCTCGCGCGGGACATAATTGCCCTGAAAATATATATAAATATAACATATTAGTTATCTAGAGCAAAACATTCGATACTTTTCGTAAAAACTTTGAATAAAAGAAGATATAAACCATTGTAATTTAGGAGGTAAATGTACATATATATATAAAATATTATACGAATTTAATACATTTAACATAACACTATGCTATGAAACATAATTACCTGTTTGAATGTTACATTATAAGGAAAAGTGGGTGGTGAGACTTCAGCTGATGTACTACCCAGTGGCCCATATAAAACTGACATTGACATTGGAAAAAAACATTGGCCATCTTGTTTGTTCACAGCTTTCCTATTCTTTCTGGGTTTCCTCACTTTCCTTCCTGATAGGGACTTTTTACAGTCATCCCCTTTATCCTCTTTCTGATCAACAGAAATGCACATATTACACTTTTCCTCCTCACATTGCTTGCATTCAGACTTTTTGTCATGCTCCACCTCTAGCTTCTTTTCTTCCTCTATCTTTGGTACTTCTGGAGGTACTGGTATAAATGCCTTAAGGTTCTTTCTCGCCCTGCCTTAAAACAGAAATAACACAAAAGCTTATTTTGTGTAAAAATGACACTGGTATTATCTTATCTAAAAAAAAGTAAGGCTTATACTTATTAGAGAAACTTTGGAATAGTTGAATAGAACTTTTTTGATTCTGCATGGCAAGTTTATACATAGTTCATAGACAGAGAGAAGACAACACAAGCTCTAAACAAGTTTTTAAACCATCAGGATATAATTTGCAAACCCTCCCTGATAGCAGCAAGTGAAATGTGTTATTACATTATTAACATTTATGTATTACTTCCACAAAAGTTATTAAATACATAATGCACACACATTACATATCTCAATATCTGAACAGAAAATCTAAGAAATATTATAGCAGTCGCAGAATTTTTTGTTACTTTAGAACAATCCAATTTTAGTTTACTACATAAATATTTTTTCCTGAATTTATATGATGTTATGAAAAAGAGTAGATTAGAAAGAATATTGTTTTTTTTTTTAATAATATATGAATTATATACCAATGAGCACAGGATCTATATCAATGCCAACAACAGATCTAGCACCCAGGGTACGCCCCACAGCTATAGATATGTGACCAACATTACATCCAACATCCAGCACGTCTTTGTTTTGAAACAAATGCCTATGCATCTCAAAGACTTGCAGTCTTATATCCATCATTGCATTTAGGTTGCGATAACCATAATACCTGTAAAAAATTAACATTTTATATTAAAATATCTTTGTCATTTAACACAAATGCAGATTGAAAAATGCAAGGAAAACATTGTTTTCTCTTTATCTTTATTATTGTGTGAATTAAAAAAAACGTAAATGCATATTTTTTTAATAACATACATAATGTAGATAATATATTTGCCTTCAGTTTTTAATCTCAGGGCTAAAAATTCCAAAAAAAAAATGTTTTACAGCAACAATAAAATTGTTATGCAAAAACAAGTACAATATAGCCATAGTAAAAAAATATGTATAAAAATGTTGTGTATAAGTCATTTAACACTTAGAAATAAAGTTTTCTGACTAGAACCAATTAGGTATAAACAATAAGAATGCTTAAAAACAATAACCTGGCACCACAAACCATAAGCTTTAATGGCCCCTTATTATGTATGTCACATATACAAACACAAACTCAATAGTCAGTTTTATAGTGGTGCTGCTGTTTATTTTTGTTTCTTAAGATTGGTAAAAACTAAACATGGTTTATCCCAATTTTAAGCAAGAAAGTTGCAAAAATGTTACCTATCGTAATTTCCATATTGATATCTTGAATTTTTTGGGTGAAATGTAGGCAATTTCTGCTCAGTTTTATTATCGCTTTTAGGTTTAGTGCGATGAGGCGATGTTCGCCGCTCTGGTTGGACTGGGTGCTGTTGTGGCCTTGCACGCATCCAAGCTCCAGGTTGTGGCACTACTGGGCTGACTATTTTATCTAATGAATCCATACGTCTCAATTTTTTTGTGTCCTTTCCTTTTTGTGATGCATTCTCACTCTCACTGCATGATCTCTTTCTAGATTTAGATGTTGACGGTTCTGGTGGAGGTGGTGCTTTTATTTTCTCTACTTTTTCCACAGTAACCTCTATAGACGGTGTTATATTATCTGTAGTGCGACGTCTGATCCTAGGCCTCTTCCTCGGTTTCCTCTGCTGCATTTCCAATCTCTTTTCATATTCTTCATTGTCCAAAGGATCCATTAAATTTAAGGGATCTTGAATATTGGGAGGAATTATCACATCAATTTTAGCTTTGTGCCTTGGTGGAGTTGGTAATGGTGAAGATTCAGGAGTAACAGCATTCATAGCTCTATTAATGTCTTCATCTTGAAGACTATTCAAATTCAGTGGATCAGAAATATTTCCACCCAACAAAAATTTGGTTGGTGGAATGAAAGCCTCCTTTCGTGGTCTTTTATAAGGTAGAAAAAACTTTGAAATTGAAGGAAAACTTTGTGCTCTCTTCCTGAACTGTTTAAATTTAGTCCCTGTGTAATAGACTCTTCGAACTGTGCTCCTATCAACATTATCCTTTGTTGTCACATTATTTTTCTTACCATGACGGGACTTCTTCTTTGGTTTTTTCGAAGTTCCTGTTCCAAGAACTTCACCATCCTTTACAAAACTCCCATCGTCAGTCGATGTGACCATCGATACGTTAACAGATGGTTCATTAGTGTCTGCCGCATCGGCATCGGATATATCTCCCGCTTCGTTCTCCATATTATCGACGTCACTTTTACTTTCGCAAGTGAGCACGTTTTTTTCTTGAAACTCCATAATTAATTATAGATATTAACAATGTTTACATATTACATTCGTAAAATTCCAAAAAAATTAAATTTACCGCCACTTCAAATCTCAATAAACGTACAAGGACATCCTCCAATGGTGATAAACAGGGTCTAACTATGTTATTAATAAAGGATCAGTATACATAATACAAATTGTAATATTAAGAAACAGTTTAATTCTCGTTAATGATTTATTTATACATACATAATGGGTAAATTATCAACGTAAATACAATACGCTTCTTATTATATCCACCACACCACAAATACAGAATTGTACAGAACTGAAGAAAATGGCAATTTGACAATATCAGTTCAAATGTTGCCAATATTGTTATCACAGCATTTTCGTGATTCTTATTCGATAAAATAGATTATAGAAATTGTTTGACATATATGGAATATTTATTAAAATAAAACTAAATAAGTTATTTCAAAGCAAGTTACTAAAAATAATATTTCATAAGTTCAAGATAAGATGTTATTACAATCTCATATTACTAAGTTTGCACTACAGTACTCGTATACTAAAACTAAGTTATCATTGCTTCGCATGATCACACACGCAGCCTTTGCTAACGTAGAGTTGAAAATATTTTCAATGTGTATTTTAGTGTTATACCGGTGTTTTAATAGCTTCGTTGGAAGACGATCTATGGCCTAAATAGAACTACGTAGCAGGTGCACAATAACGACATGATGAAGCCGTCCGTTCAGTTGCATTTCGCGACCCCTGTTACCGCGCATGTGTTCATGATGCGAGCAGATGTCAAAAGTAAATGTTTTTGATGTTGTACTTTTTTTGGCGCCTTTGGAAAAAATATGACTAAAATTTTTACAATACGCCCGACACAAACAGCTAAAAAGAGACGAACTTCGATGAAATTCACGATATTACCATGGCAAACAATAACAACTTTTTGAGATTTACCTACAATTTCAACTAGGGTTGATGAGGATGTAGTTATAAGGAAGAGGATGAGGATGAGGATTTTTTTAGAAAAAAATTGAGGATGCGGATGAGGATGAGGATCTGCTATGAGGAAGAGGAGGAGAAATAAGTAACAACATAATAAAAATATTCTTTTTGGGCAAAATATATATTATTAAGCTTTTACAGTTAAAACAAAACCTTCGTATTTTAAGAAGGAATTATTTTTTGGGTAAAAGTTTCTATTTATTATTTTTTGTTATAATTAGTGCTAAAATTAAATATTAAGTTTTATTATTTTAGTATTAAATATTAATATTGAAAATTAGTTTCTGCTTAATTGAATTTAATAAATAATAATTTAGATACTGCTTATCCTGATAAATGGTTTCGTAGCTCATCGTAAACCAACCTAGCACCACTGAGGCGTTCACTGGGAACACTTGATTGAGGGACTCATATATACTGACGTACTACTCCATAAAGTTCAAAATATTTTGGGTTTACTTTCCACCATGAAAGACTGTCTTCAGTGATTTTCAGTCTCTTTTCTTTAATATAATCAGCTAACAATGACTTAACTAAAGCATGTCTGTTTATTGGTGAGCATGATAGGCTATTTTCATAATCACTAATTCAAAATTCTGTTTTCATCACGCTGCCACAGGAGTGGCCGTGGAGGAAGAAGGAATTTTAAAAGTCATTTAGTCGAATTTTATGAAAACCATTATTATTTAGAAAATTGCTTCATTGAGCTTAAAAATTACTATTAGAAAAAACTTATAAATGAAATATTATCTAGTCACAAAATGCAGCAAACAAAAAAAAAACTATTTTAAGAAGCTGTTTTAATTATACTATTAAACTGGCAGATTATTTGTCACTTCCACTAAAAATTCTTCTCAATAAGAGGAGGAGGAAGAGGAGGAGGATTTTGTAAAAATTATTTTGTGGAAACGGATGAGGAAGAGGAGGGACAAAAAACTTTAAGAGTATTTAGTGACTGATTTGAAATTTTATCTCATTCTCCCTGAACAGTAATTTTTTAAACCTGATATAAGGCTTACGACTTTAACCTCATCAATACGAATGAATAGTTTATACATATTTCTGAATAATTAAAATTTGTAGTTTTTTGAAATTTCTAATCCTATTCTTCCTTTAACTGTTCACCAACCTTCGAGAATTTAGGCATTAATTCAATTTACGGATCGTTCCTGAGAAATTGATTTTGAAAGATGCTCATTATGCGATGTTTAGTCAATACCTTTTAAACTCAGTCATACTATTAATTCGTCGCGAGGTAAATTTTTTAATGTTGCAACCCAACAGAAGCGTAAATATTTGAAATTTGAATTGAATAATGGCCGTTTTTAGTGACAAACGTTTTGATTGATTGTGTTTTGTGTGTATATGGTGTTTTCTTCTAGAATTTAAAGGTAAGGTATGTTAAAAATTGATATGTCAGTACTTATTTAATTAAGTTTTTTTATTTAATGTAAATGTTATGTTAACTTATTTAAATATTCAGTAAGTAATGATAATTATTTACTCAATAGTACTTAGTGTATTTAGCTATTATCTACTACATTATTTTCGATTAATAAATAAAAGATTTTTAACAATTACTTTCTCTTTCATTAATTTTAAATATAAAACATTTTATAGAATAGATTGAGAAAAGTATGCAAGCCGATTAAATTTCTGAAACAACACTTGCTGTCAATGCTAAGACTATTTTGTGTATATCGTATATGATCTACGTTTCAGATGTCGAGAATACCAAAATTACCTACTGCTTCTAAAGAAAATAAACCTGGTCTTTTCAACAGTAGATCCATCACAAGAACTTTAGCCAATGGCCTGAGCGATGCTGACAAAAAGAGCTTAATTTTGAATCATACAAGACCTCTGAAAAATGGGCCTACTTCAACGGTACCTGCTCCTCGATTAAAGAGAGCCGCTACAGCGCCTTCAGCTACAACTGTTCCTATTAAATCTGCTAAAATCGAAAAAAAGCCAACTGTAGCCCCAAAAATTCCTCCATACGATTACAAGGCAAGGTTTAATGACTTACTAGAAAAACATAAAGCCATTAAGTCAGAATTTAATGATTTAAGAGATAAGCATGTTGAGGTATCAGATGATTATGAAAAAATTAAAGAAACGGTTCAAACAAGTGCATCAGAGAAGGATATGTTAAAGGAAAAACTATTAAACGCACATAAAGATTTGAAAGAAAAAACATCAGCTTTGCAAAGTCTACAGATAGATTTTGAAATAACTAAACATGAAAATGAAGAACTTCAAAATAAGACCAAAGTTTTGGACGTGGTTACAAGTAGCCTAAAGCAGAAGTCACAAGAGTTAGAGAAACTCCAGATCGAATTTGATGATTTATGTCGTCGTCATAAAAGTCTACAAGAAGAGGCAGAAGCACTCAGAGTGCTTTCTGAACATTTGAAGAAGGTGTCCATTGAATATGATAAATTACAACTTGATTACAAAGAGGCTAGAGAAACTGTTACTAAATATAAAAGTGATTATGAAGCATTACAAAATATATTAGCTGGTATGTATAAAGATCAAAGGGACTTAAGAAATACAGTTCAAGATTTGAAAGGAAATATTCGTGTCTACTGTCGAATAAGGCCCCCTCTTGAATCAGAGAGTTCAAAGCCCTTATTTAATTTGAATGTATTAGATGCTTGCTCCATAGAAGTTGAAAAAATTGAGTTGTTAAATTCCGCTAGAAAAGGAAAATCTCAACATGCATTCACATTTGATGGTATTTTTACTCCGCATACTTCACAGGAAGATGTTTTTGCTGAAGTATCATCAATGGTGCAGTCAGCACTTGACGGTTACAATGTTTGCATATTTGCATATGGACAAACAGGTTCTGGTAAAACATATACAATGGAAGGTGGTTGTGGAAAAGAGAATTATGGTATCATACCACGTTCAATTGATATGATTTTTGGTTGTATGGCGGATCTAAAAAGAATGGGCTGGGAATTAACTATAAAAGCAACCTTTTTAGAAATATATAATGAAATTATCTATGATTTACTAGATTCAAGCAAAGATCAAGAAAGCCATGATATTAAGATGGTGAATTCAAAAGGTAATGATGTGTATGTGTCAAATTTACGAGAAGAGGAAGTGAAAAGTTCTCATGATTTCATCAGGTTATTGATATTTGCCCAACGTAACAGACAAACAGCCGCAACATTAAACAATGATCGTAGCTCTAGGTCACATTCTGTAGCTCAAATTAAAATAGCAGCAATCAATGAGAAGCGCAAAGAGAAATTCACAAGCAATTTAAATTTGGTAGATTTAGCAGGATCTGAAAGTGGAAAGACAACACAAAGAATGGATGAAACAAAACACATTAACAGATCTTTATCTGAACTTTCTAAAGTTATCCTCTCTTTGCAGACAAACCAATCACACATACCATACAGAAATTCCAAATTAACCCACTTATTGATGCCTAGTCTTGGTGGCAACTCTAAAACACTTATGTTGGTCAATATCAACCAATTTGATGAATGTTTCAGCGAGACTTTGAACTCTTTAAGATTTGCTACTAAAGTTAATAGTTGTCGTACTACTAAAGCTAAGAAGAATCTTACAATGGTGGATGCATTTTAAATAATTAATTAAGAATTTATGAGTAAAAGAAGGTACAAAAATATGTATAATTTCATGTGTAAAATTCATACATATTTTACATGGAACTTGTAATACATAATATTTCAAACTTTAAATAATCGGTTATTATATTAATTGCAATTGGTTAAAATGACCATGATTAAAGCTGGTGATTTTCTTTGTTTGCAATTGGACTATAGTATGGATAGGATACAACCTAATTTATAACTCTGACACCTTTAATGGGATGAGTTACTCAAATATTTCTGATTCTTAGAGCTAGTTTTATATGATAATGACACATTTGTTTTAGACATCTAAAAACCTAAGCACTTTAATTTGCCAATTTTACTTTTATTAGAAAATTTGACTGTAAATAAGTTTTCTTTTAGCTG